AATTGTAATTGAAAATTTCCTATTCGAAGATGCATCTGTCCACTGGGTTACATGGGACGGCAGTGCCAGATTAAGACGATGGTACCATCGACGGAACTGATACCACCTATGCCGGAGCTAAATAATACAGACTCGAATCCACAATTGGTTTTGATACACTCGCAAGAGAATGGGAATGATAATGAGGAGCAAACGGCGGAACCTCTGGGTCCGATAGTTATCACGGACCCACCGACGACCATCGATCCAGCAGCGACCGTAGGCAAGTGGCCAACCGAACCGCCCACAGAACCACCGGCCACGGAAAGGGACGACGAGAACGAGACATAACAGGGCTTTTAATCGAGTCTTTGGCTGTTATTTATTGAATCTATTTATTTATTTATTTATTCACATTTGAGTAATTATTGTAATGAGACACGGATGGATGTTACTCAGATTTTGTAACATCGACTATTGATATTCTAAATAAATGTGTTATAAGCATAATAGCATTTAAAAATCTCTTTGACTAATTCTTATTTCCAGTCGAAATATTTCTAATTCACATGATTTTTTTCTTTTATCATTTTTATCCACGTTACTCAGAATGTTGCTATCTACGGTCAATTATTTGTTACATTGTCTACAACGTAAATGATATAAAGTATCTCCGGCTGTCTATACCCTCTTGATACATACGTAAATGCGTACGGACATTCCCGGGAAACGTTACGGTCGAATGGGCACGCAATCGATGTTGCTAGATGCATATTGCACGCCGGGCCTGCCTGTGTCGATACTCACACACGTCCAAATCGACAGCCCACGTAAATCGACCGTCTCAAGAATCGTTACGTAACGTCACGTTTTTACCTCAGCTTCGTAGATTCACTTCAGTGAATGCGGAATCCAAGAAAATGCGATTTCCCAGTACTTTGGATAGATAGAAATTTCAAAAAATTTATATATATGTTATACGTTGAATTCGCTGTTAATTATTAAATTATGAAGTAAAAATAAAATGCTTTTGCTTTTGATTTGAGAATTAGCTTAGGCTGATTTCGCTGCGGGGCAAATAATTTATGTATTTAAGTCGAACCTCAGGTATTTGCGTACTACGGTTAGTTCGCGTGAATTACAGAATGACATATATTACCGTTTTGCTCGACTGCGCTGCTGATCGAGGTCTGTCAATGATAGTCAGACTCATAGTTCAGCTTTTAATTTATTGTTGAAAACTGGCACTGTTATAGATTCCGCATGACGAAGTATAATTATGTAATAGGAAGCAACTTTCTTTCCAACTGTTTCTATTTCGATGCACGGGTAAATGTGTCAGCTAACAATGAGAGAAAAGAAATAGCATGGAGGGGTGACATCGTGCATCGTAAGTTGGATTACGACCTCGTTACAACCTTTGGATTTATTCGTATGCCACACACGATTCTTTGTGACTACATGTAGATTATAGAGCTTCATATTCTCTCGACCGGTTTTCGAAACGTTAAATCTAACATTTTACCGACTTCCTCCTTCGAGAATTATTGGTACCAGGCTTTTGTGTATGTATCTTGTTTTTAACTTCGATCCGTACCGGTTCTAACATAATAATTGCGTTCAACTTCATTGCATAATTATGTATTATACTAAAGGTATTCAATTTTTG